TTTGTAACCGCACCCTTAATTAGTTAATTACAAGCAGTTTGGTGCTTAAAGCTACAAGTTACAAACACCCAAACCTTGGTTTATATATTTATTCACCCAAACTTAGTTGGTGTATCATTGTTATACCCAACAGTTGGTAAGAGTACTTCTGAAAGTTCAAGCTTTTAATATTATATCCATGAGCCTCAATTGTGAGAATCTGTGCTAATTGTACAAGTGAAGTACAATGACCAGCTCTTTCAGGTTATCTTTGGTCTAATACAAATTATGTTTCAGTTGAGCCAGGTCATCCTATTGAAGTTGATTATTTTGTGGGAGATTTAAATCTAACAAATTGTTTGACAGTTGTTCTTTTAGTAGCAGCTTGCATTTGGGACATAATACTCCATATGAGATGTAACACAACATGACACTATCATTCCAATTTAAGCCTTTTCTCTACTAACAAACAAAAATCACATGTATGGTAAGTTATAGTTATATCCTTGGCAAACTGGTATAACCCCTTCCCAACAAGAAGTTCTAAGAGAATTTCAAGGAACTTTATTTATTTTTATTTATTTTATTTATTTGTCAATTGTTTACAAGATAATAAGTATAAGTGTATACATAGTTATGAATACGTGAAATGGGTACATATAAGAAAAATAAAATAAAAATAAAAGAAACAATAGGACAGGGACGGTAGGCACGTTGGTGCGCTTATGCACGCCCCCTACAGACCTCTTAGGAAAGGGGTGAGGTCAATAGTAGACAGTCTAAGGTTAAAGTTTTTGGGGTTTGGCGAAGAAACTATAGAGTCGGGTAGAGTATTCCAGACATTGACCACTCTGTTGCTGAAGTTGTATTTCCTGCAATCAAGCTTGGTGCGGTTAACCTTGAGTTTGTATCTGTTGTGTGCTCTTGTGTTGTTATGGTTGAAGCTGAAGTATTCATTGACAGGTAGGACATTGCAATGTATGATTTTATATACCATGCTTAAATCAGACCGAAGACGGCGTAATTCAAGGTTTTCTAGTTCTAGAATTTCAAGTCTGGTGGCATAAGGTATTCTACAACGAGTAGAGGAGTGGAGAACTCTTCTTGTGAAATATTTCTGGACTTTCTCAATTGTGCTAATCTCAGATACGTAATGTGGGTTCCACATACTTTGATAGTAAAGTAGCATTTTTATCACACTGACAAAGTGAGACAACCTTTCCTAGTAGTGTTTTTTTCATAAAACAATTGCTGCTAATTTCACAGCTTTCTTGGCACTGGTAAACTGTTACGTTGTCAGTGCAATTCTATGTACATCTATTATGAAACAAGTCTCTCTGACTAATTGGAATGACTTTTAAGTAGATATGCAGACAAATATGTTTCATCCTAAGTATTATATCGCATAGCCGCCCCATCTCATATGAAAGTGACTCTAGGCAGAGTACAGCATTGAATTAAAGAAAACAATTACACTGTTTTTAAAAAAATACTATAAACAAGATAGACAAAATAGGAGAGGATGATATTAAACTCAGCAAGGGAGCCGTCACAAAATTTCCCTAGCCCTGAGATCTTAGTCTGAGAGACTTACAGAAGTTGAGAGGGAAGGAGCTAATCTCTAATAATAGTCTTTTTCCTTCCCTTTGGCAATATTTTTATTGGTTGATTCATTGATATTTCATCTTTTAGTAGCATAGATTAGGCATAATTCTAAACCCTTATTTCCATTCAAAAGTGCAGTTGATAATGTTTTTTTTTTTCATAAGATGTGTTCCTTTGGAATCTGTTCTTAATGCCTCGGATTATTATGACACTACAGTATTACAAGTACATAGCTTTTCTGTTTTTCTGGGAAATAATAAACAGTAGTTATTCATGCTTGATTGTGTAGCTTTTTTCAAACAAGTTGAAAAAAGAGCTTGGGAAAAAAAAGGGATTACTCAATTTGCACTCGCTTTTAGAACAACTTAACAAAGATAAAACTTTTCAGTGTGCTCTGAATGTATACCATGAATTATTTTTGCAAATATGAAGATACCATTCATTTCAGAATATAGTACTGATTTAGGGTTCAAAAAGTATATGATGTATTTTGATCACAGAGCTTCACAGAGCTTATAATGCAATCAAGTAAGTAAGTGTAATGAAATTAATGGTAAACAACAATATTTCTGTAAATGTTTGTTTTAATGCTGAACAGGAAGTGTACATGTCCCATGTTTGATTTAATGTAAACAGTTATCATGAACCCAGCCAGGACAATATTGTATTGAAACTAGATTTTTAACTGTTTGATAATTAAATAAGATAAATAGAAAAATAAGCCTGTTTCTCATAGGTATCCCTTCCAATTAATAATATTATTGATTTAACACAATCTATGCTCTGTCATTAGACAGACAACTGTTTTTTAAAGTTATTCTTTAAAAACAAAAAATACAAAAATATCATTTCCATTAACAGTCATTAAACAGACATCTTTAACAGCTGTTGCAGACAACAGATTGGGATGAGATGAATTGAGGAAGTATATAATCTATTATTCAGAGAACTAAGAGCCATTGCTGTCTAAACTAGCTTGGACAGTGAGAAGACCATGACATTTGTGCACAACTAATTGCCAGAGCACAATGCCGTACATTGGTTCATAGGAGACATCCAAGAGTGGTACTTATTGACAGGCCAGCTATGAAGCAAGAGGAGTAACGTACAGGGGAGAGGGGTAATTAGAGGAGAGAAATACCAGGTCTATCTCCTGTTTTGTGGCCATCCTCTTCCTGCCTACAGTGGTAAATCTTCTAAATCCATTTAAGAGGTTCTTTGAGAATTTTAGATTTAGTTGAGAGAGAGAGTGCAAAACAACATTCCAACCCTGCCCCCTTTTTAATTCCAACTATTGATAAAACATAGCAAAAGCAGTTGTGTTTCCATCCACAATTTACGGCTTCTAATTGCTGTGCATACCAGTACAGCCAGTTCACCATCCCCTTCTTCAAATAAGACAGTGTTTCAAAAATAGAAGTGGGAACATTTTTTCTGATCTACAACATTCATGTCCATTCAATTTTAAGCATGTACATATAGATATGTAAATTAAAGTTCAAAGGGAATTCCCTAATGTGATCTTCTCTCTTTACCCCTAACTGCTGACCTTACATCTAAAGTCGAAGAAGGACTTAGAAATATGGCAAGGCTTCCTTTTCTTTGGTTCAATCAGATGAACTTCAAGCTAGCCTTGATCTAGCAATCAGGGGTCTTCAAACTTGGCAAGTTTAAGATTTGTGGAATTCAACTCCCAGAATTCCTGAGCTAACCTGACTGGAGGAGGAATTCTGGGATTGGAAGTCCACAAGTCTTAAAGCTGTCAAGTTTGAAGACCCCTAGCTGGTAAACATTTGACAAAATAATCCTATTTTGCATCATCTTCAGGGCTGTCAGTGGTCTTTGAAATAAGTAGAAAGTGTCCTGCATTGGTTCTCTTCTATTCAGCACTGTTCTCCTAGATTGTCCTTAATAATATTGTGGTAATACAACAACTAATATGCCCTCATATATATTATATTAGAATATTCTATATTAAATCACTAGTTTCCTTTCTCTGGACTGAAGCCAACAGCCTATGTTCAATAGCTATTTTAGTTTCCAACCACTACTTCTACTTTTGTAGTTCTTTTTCACAGATGACTCCTCCTGGATATTTTTAAGTCTTCTCCTTTTGCTATCCCATATCTGACATCCCTCCTCCTTTTCAAACTATTTCCTCTCTGAATCCAAACTAATATTTACTCCCAACTCCTTGTTTGTTTGGATATCTGCATGAATACATTAAAAGCCTGTGGAAGCTGCGGTTGAAAGCAGGATCATCACTCCATGCAGTGCATCTGATTGACATGGGCAACATTAATCTTAATGAGTACTTTTATGATCCAGATTTTAATGTTCTTCACCCACACTTCGGTCAGTGTTGGCTATCTTTACTCAAAGCTCTTGTCTATCATCTGTATTTGCAGTGTGTCTGGTATCGTTCTTACTCCTTTCAGTCCCCTGAATTGTCAAGCTTTATTCTTGTGTAGAGTACTCAGTTTTACCACTTAACATTTATTTTAAAGCAAAAATAGGAACTGTTTTTCTAAGCAGGAGACTTAGCTGTCTTTCAGATATGGGGATAACAGGCAATTTGAAATCAGAGTTGTCCTTTTGGCTTAGCATCTTGAATAATAGGCAGACTGTATCCCATTGGCAGGAATTCCAGATAATCACAATTCTTGAGATTTTTGCAGCCACATCTAGATATTCTTCATTTTCCACATACATATTAGAGGGTAGAGCTTTTTTTAATATCCCACAAAATGAAATGATGGCAAGGTAAGAATGGGAGCAAGGAACATTGGTCAATTAGAGAATGGAACTTGGATACATTTAACATCATAAACTTCTTGTAGAAGATGAGTTGCATGATGTTTCTACAGCTATATCAAAAAGTGGTGAGGACAAAAATAAATAGGTAAAACAGGGATGACAAAGAAATAAATGCTTGATCAATTAAGTGTAATGGAAAGCCAAATGCTTCAAAGAGCTCCAGTCATTAAACCTTTTGTGTACTTTTGTACATTTGTTTTGCCACTACTGCCCAATAGTTTTTCCCCCTCCAAATTAATAATAAATTGTTTTCAATTATTTTTATGTGCAACCTCAATCCATTGTGTGATTAAATTGATATTTCAGGGGGAAAGAATCATGTTAAAATGTCTTCTTTCTTTAATCCTTAAACTAACCTTGTTTTTTTTAATTGTTTAAAAGGTGATTTGAAGTGATTTGCAACTGATTTTGTGCTGAACTTTATGCATACCAAGAAATGTAGAAAGTCTCCAAGATTAGGATATATAGATTTCATGGATGCATGTAGATTTCAGGCTGCTTTTCACATAAATTATGGCATATTTTCAATTATTTGTTCTTCTAAAATTGGTGCATAAGAGTGCTGCTTTAAACCTACCATTGGGAATTGCTTTATCACTACAGGAGCTTGTCATAAAATGGTTTCCACATACAGGAAATCCTTGACTTAACAACCACAAGTGAGCCAAAATTTCTGTTGCTAAGTGAGGGCTGTTAAGTGAGTTTTGTCCCATTTTACAACCTTTGTTACCATTGTTAAGTTAGTAGCAAGAGTTTTTAAGTGAATCAGGCATCCCCATTGACTGTTCATCAGGTCACAAAAGAGGATTGCAAGACTTTAGGGCTCTGCCACCGTCATAAATATGAGTCAGTTTCCAAGCATCCAAGTTTTGATCACATGACCATGGGGATGCTGCTACGGTCATAAATGTGAAAAATGGTCATAAGTCACTTTTTTCAATGCCATTGTAACTTTGAATAGTTACTAAATGAACTGTTGTAAATCAAGGACTATCTCTACACAGATATGCACACTCAGATTTTGTAAGGACTTAAAATTTCTTATTTACTAGTGAGGTGCTATACATGTAATTCAATACCTTACAGACAAGATAAATAAACCATAAAACAGTTTCATATGGCACAAATGTTAGCTTTCCTAGGACATTCTGTCCCATTCCTTGAAATAATGGAGCCAGTCTTCTTTCTGGCGATGTTAATGGGCCATATTCAAGAGATGATTGTTTTTGTGTTAATATTATCGTGAGGGCATTATCTACCTCTAATAATTTATTCTCTACAATCCAATTTCATAGAACTTGTCTTCTGAGATCTTTCATTCCTCCTGATTTCTTTTATTGTGACATTTGTGTTTACATAACTTTTTCTTGCTTTCTTTCCTCACTTTATCAGCCTTCTGACAGATTATTATGGACTGTGTTTTTTAACCTCACAATTTCTCTCTCCTTTTTCCTTCAGATTCCCCATATGTTTTTTTTCCAGATGATAGGATATACACATGCATATTTGAATATGGTGAAATACTTTGTTTTGATACATTTAGGGCCATTTAGACTTTGTTCATATGATGCTAGATTCTTAACAGGAAATTTGTTTTTCCAGACATCTACAAAATAGGCAATTTTTCAAACTTAACTTGCTTAGTAAACCTCTTAGCTTCAAATTATATTTTACATTAGTTATGTGGCATGTGGCTGGTTCTGATGGTTTTATATAGTGTAGGAAAATGGGTGGGAGTATGAACTGTTCAACTTGCCTGCCCAGCTATTTGACTCAGAATTTTCAAATCATTTGTATAGTTCTTAGTCTAGATAAGACTCAATATAATTTCTGAGCTAAAAATATTTTCTGAAAATGATGGAATCTTATATGCCACCAGGACTGGTGTTAGAAAAAAACTTCTCCATGAAGATAATTCTATAAGAATGATGTTTTCAACCTTTTTTTTTTTTCATTTGCTAAGGGGCGTGCATAAGTGCACCATCGTGCCTACCGTCCCTGTCCTATTGTCCCCATTTATTCATACCTATTTCCTGTATTCTTACTCATGTTTATACTTATACCTATTATCTTGTAAGTGATTGACAAATCAAATCAATCAATCAATAAATAAATAAATAACTGTTTCTGTTGTTTTCATTTCAATTAGCTGTACTAATTGAAATAGTATGGAGGTACTACGCATAATGGAATTATCTCAAGTAGCATTTTTAAGATGCAAGAAAAGTGTCTAAAACATTATGTAAAAGTATGAAATATTACATACTTTTTTGCTATATGAAAATTACTTTTGAGTGAAGTAATATTTTAAGAAGGAAACAGAGAAAACTGAGTTTATTCTCTGGGTGTACAGACAGTATATAAAACATATTGGGACGACTTCCGGTTGCAAGGCTTCGGCGGCGGCAGGAATCCGCTTCTCTGCGGGTCCCTGCTGCGCTCGCCATCGAGATACCCCCGATCCAACTGGATTTGGGGGTTGTCGCTGCCCTGAAGTGGCAGCGGAAGACAGAGGAGATCCGGGCAGGGGTCTGGGGATATCGCACCCCCCTTCCCCAGCCAGCTAGACTCCTTTTTCCTGAGACGGTGGAGCGGCTGTCAGTATGGCAGCCACAAAGAAATCTTCAACTGGATAAGATTGTGCAGGAGGAAGAGCCAGAAGGAGTTTTCTTGGCTGAACCAGGACATTATGTTACTTTTAAAACACCCTGGAAACCTGACTTTGGATTGATACATTTGTTTCCAAAAGAATTCGTTACATCGGCGAAAGTGCTGAAGGAAAGCTCACTCCCCCTCCTTACGGAGAAAGCAAAGGAGCACAGAAAAACCTGCCTTTTAAAGGTAAAAATAAGCTCTTTGTTATAAGTGGGAAGGAGAGGACTAAAAATTTTTTTAAAAAAAACTTTGTTGGAGGAGGCGCCTTGAAGATTACAAGACCATTAATTAATGGTAATACGGCTTTTAAAATACATTTGGGATTTTGCCTCTGGAGGAAAAACTGTAAAGAGAAGAAGAGGAAATATTTTTTTGTTTGTTTGGATTGTTTGATAACTCTGACATTTGGAAATTACTTTAAGATTGAAAGCATCTGGGTTGTTTTTAAAAACCTATAATGGTACCATCTGTTGATGAACTGAAAATGGAATATGAAAAATTAAAAGAAAGACAACAAAGTGGCAAGGATTCCTTGGGAGCTGCCTTCCATTTTTTAGAAATGGCGGTTTTTACGTACCAGCAAACACTGGAGGAAGGAGAAGGAGAAGAAGAAGAAGAAAAGGAAGAAGCCATCTTTAATGGACTAAAAAGTTTGACTAAGAAAGAAAATGGGAAGAGAGGACGGAAAAATGAGAATTTAAGATTTAATAAAACAACCAAGAAAAAGAAAAATAGGGTGAAAAGAGGGTGCAATGTTAGAAAGCAATTGAAAAGAGAATTACAACAGAGAGGGAAACTTAAAAAGGGGGAGAGGAGAGGGGGGGGCAAAAAGACCAGATTGGAGAAGAAAGGGAGGGAAAAAGAAAAAAAAAGCCACGGGTTAGGACAAGATTTTTTTTAAAAAGTTTTTTTTAGAGACGAAGGATGATGGATTGTGTATAATTAAAGAAGATTCTGCAAGAGTGCATAAGATAGTATTGTAGTATTTGCATTTGAAATAGTTTATTGGAATATTTAATAAAATATTAATGTTTAATAATGATAGATGTTGATATTTAATAAAATATTAGGAGAATGTGCTAAATGATTAATTCTTAGTTAAAGTTTAATTTGTTACTGTTTTAATGTTATTATAACCTTAGTATTTTATTTTTTTATTCTAAAACAATGTACTTATCAGAATTAGAATTAGAATAGAAATTATACATTTAACTATACTATAAGTTTACTATTCTTTTATTTTAAGATTTAATATGTAGAATGTACTAAACAGAATCAGGATGGAAATTATGTATTATTTTAAGCTTTATTTTAGGAGAAGGCGTCATACTTCAAAAGTGATTACAGGGGAAATTTTTTGTTAAAGAGAAGAGATAAATAGATGTTTGGTAAAGAACGGACAAAAGATATAAGCATAATGACTTTGAAATAAGATGAAATAAATAAAATATAATTAAGAGAGTGAAAAGATGGGAGAAGTTATATAGAAAATACAAAATGGTTAATAAGATATGAAGGGTATATAAGGTGGGCATGAATTTGATTTAGGTCTGTCAAAAAAGATGTAATCTGGGGCCAAGTCACTTTTCAAAAGAAGTTTTATGTTTTATGTTTTGTGTGTGGATTATTTATGTTTGATTGTAAATTAATAAAATCTTGGAGAAATGAAATCAAAGGGAGAGAAATTGGGAAAAGACATGTATAAATGATAACTAAGGAGGGTTTTTTTTCCAATGTTCTATTTTAGGTTATGTATTTTGTGTGCTTATGACTGATTGAGAATTACTAAAACTTTGATAGAAAGAAATATAATTGAATAAAAGTGAAGGGAGAAATAATGAGAAATTTGGAAAAGATATATATGTGTAAATGGAAATGTGATAATGTGGAACTATGTTTTAAAAAAATAATGCTTTATTTGCCTTGTTAAAATTTATAAGTAATTCTTAGAAAGGAGGTTTTATACTTTTATGTGTTATGTTTTGTTTGTCTTTAAAAATCAATAAAACTTGTTCTTAAAAAAACATATTGGGACACTGATTAATGTTAATTTCCCTAATTCTCCAAGGGAAAATAATGATAAAAGTGATGAAGTTATTCCATGCCATTGACAACATGAATAAATTGTAAAAATAATAATACTATTAATCCAGTCTGAACATCTGGCTGACTGTGACATACCTTAATGATCATAAAAGCCCCAAAATAGAAATGGTGTTAAGTATCTGCAATGTTCCACTTGCAATAGTGTATATAGAGGGCAAATAGCTCAAAAAACATTTTTCTGCTCCCTTAATTCAGTGTCTTTACCCTAATTGACCCTCTTTGGCCTGTTCCATATGCAGTTCTCTTAAACCTGAATAAATCAGTTGCAAATATTTAAAGTATAGTCTGCTTGTTGCAGGTTCCAAACATAGTGGAATAAATATAGATAGCGTAAAATTCAGTATTATCATTAAAATAAAATATCAATTAGAAGCAATCGGGTATATATAAAATTTGTGGTTTTAAGCTTTCCTTTAAAATTGTGTTATTTCAGCTCTATAGCACATATATTTCTCTTTTCTTACATTCTCTACATTCATAGATTGGCTAAGGAAATGGGTTTACTTTTCAAAATTTCATCATTGCCACAAATGAGAGAATTGATGTGGTATATTTAATCTGACAGATTCTCAGAAGCTAGAAAACAGATCCAACTTTCACTGAAGGAAATGACAAGATTTCCACTGACATTTCTGAAAAGAAAATTAGTGTTTTACTAAGCAGATAATATCTGAAATAAATATAAATGATAGACTGGTATCCTAATCAGGCCATACAGGAACCAAAATGTATTTAAAGTATCAAGTGTTGGAAGAGAGATTCAATTAATATAAAATGTTAATCATTTAGCTGCCAGCAGAAACAAAACCATTTTGACCTAGGGTTTAAAAGATCTGGTACATCGTCTGCAGTGCCCCCCTCTCCACATCACTGCAAAATTTGCATCTGAATTCAATTTTTTAATGCAATAGAAGAAGAAAATACAGATAGCCTTATTAACTATATTTATTTCAGTTCTCCCTCTCCCCATTTTTGAAAAAAGAAGTGGGTGCTGCCCATTTTTGCACTTTTATCACCAACATGCTGTTTAAAACCAACATTACAGCACTCTTGTCCCATAAAAGGCTGTGCAGACTTCCTCAATAATTTGAATTACAGGAAAATATTGTAGAAAGTATTATAAATTTTGGATACTACTATAGATAAGAATTTCTTTGCCAGGGACCTACTTAATCTTACAAAAGAAGGGCACCACATTTGGGAGTCCATGGTGCTCTGTGAGCTTGATTATTTTCTTGCAGACATTTCACCACCAAACTAGATAACAACATCAGTACAACCTGATGATCAACCCATAATCATCCTTCAACTCTAAACTAAAAATGTTGTCTTATATTGGTATGAGCATTTGACTTATACATAGTAAGAAAAAAGAAGCCACTTGCCAAACTACTTTCTGAGAATGAACATGATGGTGTTATTTTTATATATTTTTGATGTAGGAGTAAAATACTGTAGTAAAATGGATGGATTGCCTAGCTCCGTGATGGCGAACCTATGGCACGTGATGGCCACAGGTGGCACGCAGAGCCATTTGTGCTGGCACAAGAGCCGCAAGCAAATTTACCTCACTGTGCATGCGCGTGCCTCACAGCTGATTTTTGGCTGGTTTGAGACCTTTTTAGGCCTCCCAGAGGCTTTCAAAAAGGCTCTGCAGGCCGAATAGACCCGTTTTGTCACTTCCTGTAATACCAGAAATACTGTAATACTCTCCCGCACATGCCCTGCCCCCCGCGCATGCACGCCCATCTTCCCCGCACATGCGCGGCAGATACCCAACAATCAGCTGGTGGTGGGTGCGCGTGCATGTGTATTGGCTCTGTTCTGGGTGACGCCTCGCGTGCCAGTAGAAATGGCTCTGCGTGCCACTTTTGGCACGCGTGCCATAGGTTTGCCATCATGGCTTTAGTGGGTTGCCTAGTTAATTCCTCTAATAATGCTATAGCTAGTGCATCTTCACTTCTCCTTCTGTCTCATTGTTCCCATTATTACTTCTGCATAAGCCATCTTTTCAGCGTTGTGCCATGCCCTAGGAAGTATTACCCACCCACCTCAACAGTCTTGGTGATTGCCAATCTTGCCTCAAAATAAAAACATTTCAACATTTCCCATCCCCAAGTCCCCATGTAACCTAAATGTAACCTAAACCCCATGTAACCTAAATCCCATGGAATTTTGCACAAGCATGCTGAAATTGTCATTTGTCGATCCTGATGTAAGAGCAGCAGCAGCATCTCTGCCATTAACATCCTTGCATCTTCATTTCACAAAAAATTGAATATCCCAAAGGTGTTTTTCAAAAGACAATTGGACTTTCTTGATTTTTTCCTTGAAAACATTTCACTTCTTATCCAAGAAGCTTCATTAGTTCTAACCACATGGTAGGGAATTCAGTTAGAACTGATGAAGCTTCTTGGATGAGAAGCAAAAAATTTTCAATTTTAAAAAATCAAGAAAATCCAGTTGCTTTTTGGAAAAGCACCTTTGGGATAACCATAGCCTGGATGATTGAGAAT